TATTTATGTAGCCCCCCGAGACTTCCCTGAAGATGAAAGAAGACAAGATACTAGGGCAGAATGTATGCATTTGGCACAGAGAAGGTGTTTGGGCTACTGGCACCGCCCAAAGGCCAGCTCACCCACCGAGGCGCAAGAAGGCAAATTCAAAAGTCCAGAAGTAGCGCCTCACCAATACCGAAGGACAAACCACCATCGTATTACATTTAATATGTGATAGGGCTTTAAAAAATTTTGTTGGGCCTAGGTTTTGCGTGTATTCATCCCTTCTAATTTGTTCTCGCTTCAGTGCCGCTTCGCCTTATCTACGTGGGTCCTATCCAGCTTGTAGAGAGGTAGAGAAGGTGTCGCGTGTTCACGTTATTAGCATCTTCATATGGGTGCGTAGGTAGCTCCCTAAGGAACTTTTCCAAATGGTTCACAGCCAAGGCCAGTGTCACTTCAGTTATTAATAGGTTTCCTGCAGACCATAGGACTGGGGTAATTTCTGAAGGCAGACATTATTCTCAATCCTTCTGTTAAGGGTCGCTACTGTTAAATAAATCAAAAGCTCCTCTTTTTTTAGGATTCAAAAGATTTGTGCTAAAGGTATTTGTCAGGTGACCCGGCTTCGTACATTTCCTGAAAGCTTTTGACTGGTCAAACGGACTTGGTTGTTGACATTGTGAATCCTAGTAAAATCGTTCATTGGATATCACTAGTGGTGACAAAGTAGTTAGATATTATGTGTCCTCCAACCTTAGTCTGCAGTAAGGACTTCCGCAGCAAACGAGAAACCCACAACCATGGGATTCTTTTTGGTAAATACTGACTACTCACCCACAAAAATCTTTTGCCTCATCAAGCCTCCTTCCCGCTTGCGGTTTCGAAAATACGTCGTTTCAAAGGTCTGTGTTACGCTTAATCTAGACGGCATTTTAAACAGACATCTCCACTGGGTCATTAAAAGTAGAACTGAAACACATGCTGTGTTAGGTGTTTAATGCCGCCAAATCAGTAATATTTAGTGAATACTTGAAATTAATGGGGCTTGGAGTTGCTGGTAATGAGGTTAAATGTCGTTCGGTTCGGTCTTAGGCCACGGTTTTCTCTGCTCCTCTTCCATCCCATTCGTCACCTCGGCCACCTGCGGGATGCAGATTGAAATGCTTGTTCATACACTTACCAAATGCGTAACAGACAAGAGTTTGTTTCAGCCACTTATCCAGTTGTGCGGACTCCAATCTCCGTGGGTTTTGGTCAACATCTTGAAGGCATGGTACTCCGCTCTTATCACTTATGTCAACAGTTAATGAGACTTTCTATGTATGTACTAGAGTTCTATCCAGTGACATTCATGACATTACGGTCTTAGGGAGGACTTGGACTACCCATCGGATACTACCCCCTTTAAACCACCAAGTTTGGCCATCATCTGCTGATAAGTTGTTTTACAAGGCGGAAAACCATTTTTTAAAATACTATTTTTAGTTACCTACTAGCTTTATTTCAGTAAAATTAAAATTCTTTTTTTTCTTCCTAAATTTCTTTAACACCAAGTTTACTGTCATCTACTTAACCACTTTTAACACCTTTTTCCCTATGCATTTGCTCGTGAAAAGGTAAGGGACACGAAAAACATGGAATTCCCTTACCGCGCCCTCAAGAAGTCGGCGGATGGTCTGGGGTGACGCGTTGATGGAGATGAGGTGTGCGAGAACGGTATCAGTGACGACAACGGAGTTGAGAGGTGTTGGTGGTACCATGGCCTCCACCATCTGTGGACTCGAGGGCTCCGAAAACCCACTCAATCCACCGGCGCCCACCTCATCTTCCCCGTAGCTCCCCGACACGCTCGGTTTGAGGTGACGTCGGGTGGTCATCGCCTCCGTGCTACCCCTCTTGCGCACGTCTTGACGGCAAGATAAGATGATTGCTCTAATACATTTTCCACCAGGTTTTTATTGATCACTATCTTAATGTCATAGCGCTTTGTCCGTGACATTTTCGTTGACAGCCTACCTGCACTCTTTACCAGTTGATAATAAAGTTCGACCCAGAACTACATAACCTTTAAATGTCTTCGTTGATGACAGTGACGTTACAAAACATTCCAAATTAATTTGCTCTACTACATTTTTAGGGATGATAAAGAACGAGGGACACAAATATTTGCGCACTGATCCCAATTTGGAACTCTCTAGCACTCCAAGAGTTCCACATTATTGTGGTTCAAACTACTATAGGCGCCTTCACTAACTAAAATTAGTGGAGATATATACAAAAACAGTCCAATATTCCCATCTTTAGCGTTCCAGAAGTTTTTGCATGGAAGTTGGCGATAAGGGCACTCTAGATCATGTCTCAATCTGGACTCTCATTGATTTCCCCCACTGACCAATCTGATATTAAAAACAGCAAACTTCCATTTTAAATAAATAGAAGTTTATGCTACGGTTAACAGAAATTATGTTTTACAAACTATAAACAAATCAATCAGGAACCGTGTGACCTGTTGCTTCTAGGCAACTTTCTTCTCGCTAATGCAGTCCACTAAACCACTTCGGAATTTGAGTCCTACATACCTAGAGGGGTGTGCAATCTCTGATATATAAAGTGGAGATAATTGTGAGGGGATCTAATATTACACTACCTTTAGTGCTGTAGCTCTCTGGTAATTCAAGCAAAACCATTGAAGAAGGGCGCTCAATGTGGAACACGGCGCTACAGAAAAAAAACTGTATGGAATTTCCACGCTCATTTAGCTAAATGAAAAGAATACATGTTCAAGTTTTTGCGGTGGCTTATGAAACGGTGACGCTCTACGATCCTCTTACGACCAACATCGAAGCAGACGGCAGCAGAACGTTGTCCATACTTATTTATCCGTTCATAAATGCAAAGTTTAATCATAAAATGTCACGCAATGATGGAGTCATTAAAACAATTGTCTTCTGATATTACAGATGGAAAAAAACACAAGTGTTGACACGTTCACGATGGCTTATTCTCAGTGGGCATGCGCCGATCTACAGGAAGCTAGTAGAAGCCTTCAATCCCATATACTATCCTTTTTTATCAAAGGATGAAAATAACAACATCACCAGATATCTTGAACAGATGTCTTGGAGGTGACTTGTGAATTTGTCATTGAACCTTGGGCAATGCATCTTCAGACAATATTTTCTGTATGCATATCAATCTGTGTATCGAAAACCACGATAGTGGGTTTTTTTCCTAAAAAGAAATGGTGCTAACTACCCTCCTCCCAACGAGCTAGTTGAAACATATTGTTAGCCCACTAACTTGTCCCAATCAGAGTGTTGACCTCAACTCGGCAGCTTGAATGGACAGGATCACTCCGGCACAATCGTGTAAACACACAAATTTAGTAAATATATGGCAGTGACAATAGACCGACCCAACAGACGGTTGAGGACATCAAGTCAGCAGCTAAAGTAAAAGTGCGTTTCGGAAACGACTAATTCTCCCTGAGAGACTTTAATATACATGGGACGTGATGACTCCACATTTGCAATACTTTGAACTAAAACTTCTTAAATGAATAATAGTCGCCCCTCCCAAAAACAGTTGATTAATATGTCAGTTAATGATTGCCCACTTTGATGTGCTTTGCGGTGGTCGCGTCTCTTTCCCCCCTCTCGCTGCTATCGTCACTTAAATAATACCTGTGATTGTGCCAGATCGTGTCGCAGGTGGAGCAGTTGAATTTGAAACATGCCAGATGAAGAATGGGGATAATTATGATTTTCTGAAGCCTGATCGCTATTTAAATTTGGCAGAATTTTTATATCACTTATTTGCATTTTCGGACAAAGTATGCAAGCTGAGCTTTGAATGTTAAATTTAAAACTGGGTGTATATTTCACCATAGTAACACTGAATCAAACATTGATCAAGGTCAAGGGCTATTTCATTGCTGCCGGATAAAGACACGTCCAACCAAGTAACAAGTTACCGCATTGAACATCTGCATTAATAAATGGCACTGAAGTTGGTATCACTTTGAGGCACAAATGTACATGACTGTAACTTGGACCGCATCCCTAGCCAATCCAATTCGAAATTGAATAGTAACACAACGTTACAGATCATCGTATTAAACAATTAGCGGAATTAAACAAAAGCTGTGTGGTCCCATCATTCAACAGATCTCTAACCGATATTGCTCGGTCTCTGAGCCATCGTCTTTAACAACTAACAGTCTATGCCCTACTCTATACGTAGGATATTAGGCACTTAAACCTCCTAGAAGATACCGAAATTAAATACATATTTCTAAATTATTGAATTATCACAGGGAATTGAGACTGATCTGCCCACAACTAGTGTCCTGTTTCAGCCATTTCTTGCTAATATTGATCCCCATTATTGTCGTATAAGTGTTCTGGTGAAGAAACAGTGAGCATCTAGTTAGATTTCCAAAAAAGTTTAAGAAATTGGTTCAGACTCAAGCACACCCAGCCCAAGCCTCAATGAAACGGACCGATTGTGTGACTTCGGTTTATGTTATGGCTGGCATTGGTCGCTAGTGAGAACCAATGAGCCTTCAGTTAGCCACATTCAATAATTTGGGTGAATCCGGCCGATTGTAAACGGACGTTATTTGATAACATGATTGTACTGCCAGTTCCGAAGTGGTTCCAAATCAGTTGGATAAATGTGGGATTCGATTGGCGCGTTCAAGTCGCCTTCACCCAACCCCGGCCTCTGCAAGTGATGTAACCCATCCACCCTCACCCCTCTTGTCTCGACCTCCAGGGCGGTGTCAGGGTGTTTTGTTTATTCTATCCAGTAGTCTCCAACCCTTCTGTGTGCTAAGAATATTAAACTATTCTTTCACTATGGAATCAAACAGTACACCTTCAGGGGAGACCAAAGAGCCAAATGACACTATGGGTCTTAATATATATACAGTAATTTGGTTTTTTTGACGGCGAAGTTAGAACTAATAGAACGACGAGTTGGATGTTGGACGTGAACATAAAAATAAACTAAATAATTCAATGCGTTTTTGTTAATTAATTTGGAAAAACGTAAACCTAAAATGTCATACAAATTTAGGGAAAGATTCCGCGAATCTGAAGTCAAAATAAGCTGTGTAAAGGAACTTTTCAAGCTGATCGTATTTGAACGTGAATGAATGAAGAAAATCGCTGATATGTAATTTAATAAATTAGAGATACGAATCTTGGTAGACTATAAATACCAGTCCGATAAATGTTCCACAATCCAAATAAAATTACTAAATCAAGGATGACGCACGAAATTCAGACCATCATTGGGCTGGAACATTATTTAAAAATACGATTTAGTTTCTTATATTATCAGTGAACCACTCCCTGTTTTCCGGATGTAAACTCCAACTTGCTAAACTGCTGCCGAATAACCGATTGAAAACAGAAAAGAAAACTCAGCGATTACCTTATGCTATTTCCATTGAGTTTACTCAACAGATTCAAACTATTGCGAGGTAGTGCAAGGACCAAAGGGACAGGGAGAGTTCCACCAAACTACCGGCGTACACCAAATAGTACTGTGCGCTATTAGGACCGTACATTAGAAACACAATAGGGCTTAGAGCCACTAAAATGGCTGAGATACCAGCTCACCTTACGAAGGCACTATTGTAATACTGATATTGTTTTAATGTGCCTTCCAGAAAGGAGTCAAGGTTACAATTCGAATCTGGTGACAGAGTCGGCGTCTCCCAAGCCTGAGAGCAATTGCGATTCCTCCCCTCTCTAAACTTTGTACCTGTTTTCCCGATTCACTTCTCTCTAATAAATATGCTGAAATTAAATCAACTGGGTTGTTCTAAGAGCACCAGGAACAAGGAATTGGAGACCTGCGAGTCTCGCCCTACACTATGGTGGAGACCCAAGTTGAGCCCTTTACAAAAAAATGGAATGGTAGAATCAACGTACTGCAACATTATGAGTGGAGTACAGTTACCAAAGTTTGGTCTTTCAAGGGCGCTCTTTTTCCTTGAGAGAAGATTACATCCGATCCGACAGGCGATTCGTGTTTCCTGAATGCTTCTCCCCTAAAATGTGGATTCGGGCATCCATCACACCCTGATATAAATGCTGATTTAATTTCCGAAAGCAGTCTGAAATGCGTTTCCGTTGAAAAACCCATGAGCCTTTTAAAAAAGCCAAAATGTAAAATTTTGAATTGCGTGTGCTTTATAATTCAATGCTATTTTGTAATATTTGTTATGTTATTTTGCCATCCAAAATGATTGCGGACTGTTGCATCATGTAATTCCACAACGTACCGACGAAAATTTTTGCAAATGTCCAAAAGATTTAAGAACCCCTCTTTAACAGACATTTTAATGGCCACAAATTTTACGTGAGTTGTTTTAATTTGTTTATCTGAGGTAATAGATATATGAGAGTCAATACCGGCATTTGCAAGCTCGCCTCGATTGTGTTACGTGAGTTGCTACTGTTGGTCTGGGAATGGGCAAATCAGTAAGTTTTGCTGAGCTCTGACATTTTAATACTGGTTTCCTTTTGACCTTTACTGAACTCTGTCCGTTCAAGCGCGGTGACAAGTACCGTGATGCCACGGACGGCAAGAAAGATACAAAGAAAGACCTTAATGAGCTCAAGCAAGAGCTTGCAATGGACGAACATCAGATTTCCTTGGACGAACTCTACGCTCGTCTTGGAACCAATCCTGATACAGGTCTAACCAGTGAACAAGCAAAGTAAATATGCTTACTTGCTGCATTAGCGGCTCTTAGAACACGTTTAGATCGTGATGGACCCAATGCGCTTACCCCTCCGAAGACAACTCCGGAGTGGGTTAAGTTTTGCAAGAACATGTTTGGTGGCTTTTCACTTCTTTTATGGATTGGTGCCGTCCTCTGTTTTATCGCTCATGGTATTCTTGCTGGTGTGCAGGAGAATCCTACTAATGATAACGTGCGTTAATTTCTGTTCTCTTTTCATTTTCGACTTAAACGTCCATTAAGAGATATGAAGTGTGAGCTAAGCGCAAGTTGTACTTGAACTAGTGATATCCTTTCGCCCACAGTTGTACCTTGGTATCGTCTTGGCCGCTGTCGTCGTTATTACGGGCTGTTTCTCGTACTACCAAGAGTCTAAATCGTCGAAGATCATGGAATCGTTCGCTAAGCTGGTCCCTCAAGTGAGTGCATATCGGTGCTTTTGCCTGATGTGATTAACCATGAGATGAACTTGAGTGTCGCGGTTTCTTTCAGTACGCCGTTGTAATTCGTGGAGGTCAAAGAATCGATGCACCTGCCGAAGCTCTGGTTGTCGGTGACATCATTGATGTTAAATTCGGTGACCGTGTTCCCGCTGACATTCGTGTCATAAAAGCTAGCTCTTTTAAGGTGAGCTTGTTTTTTATTTTATCTGGGCAGTACTTTGCGTTTTGACTAATGCCTTTCTTTGTGAGATTGGAGTTTTTTATTGGATGATTGGCCTCCAAATATCACGCCAAGTTTCATTTCTGTCTGATGCAGCTGAAGGCGAGTGCATAGATCTTGTTAGTTCCTTTGGTGATACGTGATCGCGAATACATGTTTGTATGTGTGTACGCATTTTATAAACAAATGGCCTCCCTAGGCGTTGAAAGCGACGCACGAATTCCCCATGCAAACAACAAAATTCATCACTTCCGGTCACCAGGAGAACGCGTGTTTGTTTATGCAAAACGCTCGGCGCCTCCCAATTACATAATCCACATTCTGCACTCACTTGCTTGGTTCGAAAATAATACATTCGTCGCCAAAACGATTGCTACCGAGTTCGGGAACATCAATGAAACGCCTCCTTGATTGACTTAGGCCTGTGATTGTTTGTCCTTTTTTTGTCATCTGTGATTACCTGTTCCATGTGTTTCTTTGTCTATGATTGGCTGGCGGCTTGATTTAGCTCATGTTTTTTTATTTAACCCTACTGTATTATCCAACTATCAGGGTAGTGTTGTGAGTTATATACAGCTAGGCTAGTATGGTTTAAGCTTACTTTACTGATGTAGGGTGGTCAACGGGAGCACTGACCCCAAATTTACGACTTCTTGAATGTGCTTGTACTGCGCACATACGTTGGTACGCGTTTTTGTGGATCTATTTTCCAGTGTAGCAAAAGTTCCCACCCTACCGTTGCTTTTTCTGGAGTAGGTGGACAACTCAGCGCTGACAGGAGAGTCGGAACCGCAGACTCGCACGGCGGAGTACACCAATGAGAACCCGTTAGAGACGAAGAATCTCGCCTTCTTCTCCACTAACGCCGTGGAGGGCACATGCCGCGGTGTGGTCGTAGCCACCGGTGATCGAACCGTCATGGGTCGCATTGCTAACCTCGCCTCGGGTCTCGAGATGGGGGCCACTCCAATTGCGCGCGAGATCGCCCACTTCATCCACATTATCACTGGTGTGGCCGTTTTCCTCGGCGTTACTTTTTTCATCATCGCCTTTATCCTTGGCTACTACTGGCTCGATGCGGTCATTTTCCTCATCGGTATCATCGTGGCCAACGTGCCCGAGGGTCTCCTCGCCACTGTCACCGTCTGTCTCACTCTTACGGCCAAGCGCATGGCGAGCAAGAACTGCCTGGTGAAGAACCTCGAGGCTGTTGAGACCCTCGGCTCCACTTCCACCATCTGTTCGGATAAGACCGGCACGCTCACCCAAAACCGCATGACTGTCGCCCATATGTGGTTCGACAACAAGATCTTCGAGGCTGACACTTCTGACGACCAGTCCAGTAAGCTCATCTTCTGCTTCCCCGTATACCACATTTAATCTCATAAATCTTCTTCTCTTTTTATGGCTTTTTTTAGCACGTAAGTTGTGCGCTCTAGTCGCGTAGTAGTAGGCTGTTCGGGGTCCTAGCCTCCGTGTGTCTTTAACTCGTATGTGCATTGTTCCTATTCAGCTGCTAATTATAGCCGGGATTCTTCCACATGGATGGCTCTCTCGCGTATCGCCATGTTGTGTAACCGTGCGGAGTTCAAACCAGGAGAGGAAAACAAACCTGTGCTCAAACGTGAGTGTAATGGTGACGCCTCAGAGTCAGCTCTGCTTAAGTGCGTCGAACTGTCGATTGGTGGAGTGACCAAGTACCGTGCGGACAACCCCAAGGTGGCAGAAATTCCCTTTAACTCAACCAATAAGTACCAGGTGAGTGTACATCAGACCAGCGATGGGGATGAGCGCTACCTCGTGGTGATGAAAGGTGCGCCCGAGCGTATCCTTGATCGTTGCTCCACCATCCTGATGGAGGGTCAAGAACTGCATATGGACGACCAGTGGCGTGAGAGTTTCAACAACGCTTACCTCGAACTTGGTGGTATTGGGGAGCGTGTTCTTGGCTTCTGCGACCTCCGTCTCCCTGCTGACAAATTCCCTCGGTATGTGATACATCACCCTTTGTTAGTCTCTTACTTTTTGTGTACTCATTCCACATCTGTTTCCCCTCTTTCAGTGGCTTTAAGTTTGACGTAGATGAGCAAAACTTCCCTATTGAAGGAATGCGCTTTGTGGGTCTTATGTCAATGATTGATCCGCCTCGTGCTGCTGTGCCTGACGCCGTCTCCAAGTGCCGCTCCGCCGGTATTAAAGTGGTTATGGTGACGGGCGACCACCCCATTACCGCTAAGGCCATTGCCAAGGGTGTGGGCATCATCTCCGACGGAAACAAGACTGTGGAAGACATTGCGGCGGAGCGAGGAGTCCCCGTAAACCAAGTGAATCCTCGTGAGGCTAGTGCCTGCGTCGTTCATGGCTCCGATCTGCGCGATATGACACCCGCTCAGATCGATGAGATCCTCGAGAACCACTCCGAGATTGTCTTCGCTCGTACTTCACCACAGCAAAAACTAATCATTGTCGAGGGCTTCCAGCGAATGGGTGCCATTGTCGCTGTCACTGGAGATGGTGTCAACGACTCACCTGCCTTGAAGAAGGCTGACATCGGTGTCGCCATGGGTATCACGGGTAGTGATGTGAGCAAACAGGCAGCTGATATGATCCTCCTTGACGATAATTTTGCCTCCATCGTCACGGGTGTGGAGGAGGGGCGTATCATCTTCGACAACTTGAAGAAATCCATCGCCTATACCCTCACCTCCAACATTCCTGAGATCACGCCTTTCCTAATCTTCATTCTGGCCGATGTACCTCTGCCCCTGGGCACCATCACCATTCTGTGCATCGATTTAGGCACAGATATGGTGCCGGCCATTTCGCTAGCCTACGAGGAGGCCGAAAGCGACATCATGAAGCGTATGCCACGCGACCCCTTCCGTGACAAGTTGGTGAACGAACGTCTCATCTCTATGGCCTATGGCCAGATTGGCATGATTCAGGCCTCGGGCGGTTTCTTCGTTTACTTCGTCATTATGGCAGAAAATGGTTTTTGGCCGAGCCGCCTACTGGGTCTGCGCAAACAGTGGGACTCCCCAGCCATCAATGATGTTGCCGATTCCTACGGCCAGGAATGGACGTACACGCAGCGCAAGCGTCTGGAGTACACCTGTCACACGGCCTTTTTTGCCTCCATCGTCATTGTCCAGTGGACGGATTTACTCATCTGCAAGACCCGGAAGAACTCCATCTTCCAACAGGGCATGTGGAACCACCACCTTACCTTTGGTCTCTTCTTCGAGACTACACTGGCCATCTTCCTCTCTTACTGTCCGGGTCTTGAGCACGGTCTGAGAATGATGCCTCTTCGGTGAGTCTTTGCGCATCCTCCCCATTTGTATCGATCCCCTAACCGCTCCCCTTGTTTTCAGATGGACATGGTGGCTGCCGGCTCTGCCCTTCAGTGTGTCAATTTTCATTTTCGATGAGGTGCGAAAGAAGCTCCTTCGAACTCTCCCTCCGGGCAATTGGGTGGAACGGGAGACGTACTACTAGTAGTTATCTGCGATGGATAATAAACAAAATCGCAACTCCCACTTCCGCTCCCTCTCTCCCTTCCTCCTTATTGCCTCCCCCCTTAGTGTCCTCACCCCTTTCCAAAGCGAACTATTACTCTTGTTACGTAGCCTTCACTAATTTGTACGCAACCGAGCCCCACCTTCCTATCAGCCTGCGTGTGCTCCGCAGCTTGCGATCCTGGCGTTTCACAAGCACAGATAGAAATGTCCCTTCCCTCTAGGGACGTTTGCATTTTTGTAAGGCGATTCTGGGGTCACATTCCGTCACACTTCCACACACACCTCAGGTGTGCTCGTGTGTGTGTGTGTGTGATTCTCTGCACTCCATTTCGACTGCTCCTGACACGATTCTCCTACTCCCCCCCCCATCCTAATTTGGCTTTAGTGTCTTCACAATAATTTTAAACCGTTGCCTTAAATGTACTTGCCCAGACATTCGTTGGTCGATTGTTTGCGGTGTCGATCGCAGTAGCAATATTGACGGCCGTGTCTGCACTTCCCCTATCTCTTACTACGCTGTCCTTCGTTCGTTTCCTGTTTTTTCTTTCCACCTCTCCTCTTCCATTTCATCCACTGCAAACGCTCAGAAAACTGGTAGAATAAATTCGGTTTTATGAACACACCTTTTCACCCTTGGCTGCTACGGCGGGGGCCTTTGGGTAGTTGTTATTCGAATACCATCACGACTGCATTATAGCTCGGAGATCTGTACTCTGGGATGGCATATTTGACTCATCGGTGGGGAATGAGTCGGGAAAAGGGTGCTATCGGTGAGAGTACCGTGGCACTGGGGGCGATTGCGGAGTCCCCTTTGTCGAATGAGACTTCACTTTAAGACTTTAAATGGCTAAAACTTTTTGGCCAATCTTTCTAACGCAGCGAACAGTGAATAACCCGGTTACAAATAGGCGTTCCTGTATCCAATAAAAACTTAACGCCATTTCCAGAGCAGCGCATGCGTCAGGAGTGGCATCAATCTAAGTAGAAACGGCTTTAAAACCCAATTCAAGTGGTAGTGGCAGCAGTTTTTATGCCTGAACTTTGATTATTTCAAAGAAGGTTAAAAAACCCCTTCTTTGTAATGTTACCTCTCAAAGCACGGTTTATCACCATTCAACTAACAACTTGAAGAGAGCTTTCCCCCACTAAACACTAGACCAGCTACACTCAGCTACAGTGTTAGTCGAGGTGAAAAAATATACAAATGCTTAAACTGTGCGTTTAAATGTCTGACGCAGTGCGAATATTCTCAAATACTTGCATCCCTTTGTCTCTTTCCCACTGATTTTCTGCCTGTTTGTTCATTTGGTAATACTGAAAACATGTTTTTCACCTCTGCGAATCACGCCTGGAGCTATCACGAATGATTAAATTGTCATGATGTCGGTCGTGACTGAATGCGCGTGTTGGGTGGCGGGATGAGGTGATGGTGTAAAAACTTGATTGTGTTCAATGTCATATACCGAAATTTTTGTAAGGAATGGACCATTTGATTAGAATGTGCAAGGCACATTTCGCTGCCTTACAATAGTTATGGTCAAGATGTTTTTTAGAATCAACAGGCCCACACGTTATTTGGAGCGCATATGATCACAATGGATTGAGTCAGAAATAGCTAAGTAGACCTTTCACCAGACCACTCCCAGCATATCTACTTTTGAAGCGATCTCCATTTGTCTTGTCTGGTTTAGGCTCACCGACGCCTTTAATTCTTCAGACTGAGTCTCAACTCCAGCCAAAATACCAAAGAAGGCAGAGGACGTAAATTTGCACGATTATTCCAGCACAAGGAGATGTGGATTCAAACCTTTTATTGGCTTGCATAGCATAAATGCTGTTTCAAAAAAACAACAGTTAGTTGGTGTCTATCAAAATAGCAAGCTATTGTGTTACCACTAGCTGTTCTCTCACAAACAGCACAGATCATGACGATGAGGCCAGCTAGCCAAATATAATCCGGGCGTTGTTCTCAAAAATTGCGTAAGCTCATTGTAGCGAATTCAATTGAAACACTGACCTACAACTCAGTCCCAAAATGGTTGTATTTTGCCTTAAGATTAGAAAGAAAAAGAAAGTGGAATTTTACAGCACAGTGCAATGTTGCGGTTGAAATTAATTTACTTATTTCCGACGCCGGGCGAGATGGCGATGGTGCAGTGATTACGGATGCTGGTGTGGCACTGGCGCCTCTCCGTAGTGGCACCCGTACAGCAGGCATTGCATTTCCGGCCCATTAGTACGTTGTACAAATTGGTGGCGCCTCGTCACCATTCCTCTCTTTCCAGGGCATGTCAATCTAATCTATTCCAATCGGCTTTTAATGGTACCGGTAGTTTCCAACAAACTCGGCTCCCTAATATTTGACTTGAAATAACCCAGGACTCGATTTTCAATCTGTGAAACTTCCTGACCTCTGTGTGGATTCAGTATTTTTACCTGTTTTTCATACAAAAATCATCAGGCCAAAATGTTGCCTACCCTTCAATAGGCTTTCTTTATGCCATGCAACGTAGAAGTCCCAGCCATCAAAATCGGCTCATTTTGGAGGGGCAGCATGCGCTGTAAAGTCGCAGCCTGATCAGCAGATATTCAATGTCTTCAACATATTTGAAATGCTTGCAACTTGTACTTATTCCTTGTACTCCTTGTGTTGTTAATGACCAAAACAGTTTCCTTAGAAATGGGCGTCCCTTTATCTGCGATTTCTAACATTTAAAACCGTCGTATTGTGGCTAATCCAGCGGAAATGTTGTTTAAAAAATGCGTAACAGAATAAATATAATTATTTGGACAAAACTACTTTGCCTTGCTTAAAATCATTTCCATACTATTTGTGAGAATAGCAAAAAGTTTCTATAAGTGGTCTCTATTTAACCTGATAGTTAGTAATGTAGCAAAAATATGCTTAATTGAAAAATAAGGTAGTACGATCATCCTAATAAATTAATCACAGAACAATCGGATGCACTTATCGTCTTACTCAATGGTATTATGAAGGTTTTTTGAGGTAATCAGAGACTCAAATTCATGTATGCGATAGGGAGGATGCTACCGTGGTGGCACGTCCTATTGCTATTGAGCGATTCACATCTCTCAGGTCAGTCCATACACCCTTAGCCAAGATGACGGGAGGCACTGTTGATGAACAAGAAACACCAACACTGAAATTTGAGGCATAACCTAGTGCGGTGATGAAACGCCTAGCTGCCAGCAATAAGACATTTGAATGTTTTTAATGTTTCAAAGACAGCCATTCAGTTGTAAGTCTGTGCGTCGATGTAGGCACACTTCCAACCTACCATAACTGTAGTCACACCTTGGAACATCCAGGAAGCAGTGGAGCACCAGGCTCGTCCAGGATGTCTGCTCGAAGTTGTGCTCGTCGCCCAATGAGAGCGGTGTGCTAAAAACAACTTCCCACTATGTCGAAAATTTATCCCACTCTAGCTACCAAGATAAAGGCCGCCCTAAACCGGTTCAACAATGTTTTTTGAGTCTCGAAAATGGACAGAATTCACGTCTTACAGTTACGGTCAGGTTAATGGTTATTGAATATTTATAAAATGGGAGAATGTCGGGACAAAGTCTACTCCCTCGCAGAGAGACCAACGTCATTTTCGCATTGAAGTTTTGTATGCCTCTAGTGCCTTTGCATTAAGCGCTTACGGTTTTTGTGGAAAAAAAGCAATGATTGCATTGTTCTCCATCTCGCGCTGTTTTGCTGAGGCGCAAAAACTTAAAGCAATGAAGTGTTAACTTGGTCGGCGGGGCGTATATTTCACTTCGCTCTATTATGCCCATGCCTCCGCACTCGCCTCTCATTGGTCCCATTTGCGCATACATGGAATCTATTTCTAGCTCACGATCAACTGTCTGTCCTAGTTGAGATGCTTAAAAAGTTAGTTTTTCCCCTTCTTCTCTTCCCGATGTCTCGTAGGCTTAGTTTAACCAGACTCTGAAGAGCATATTTGGAATTGCTTGTTCTGAAAAAAAGGAAAGTAGTGATAGTCGGAAGGTGTGTATATATCTTTAGCTTTCTTCAAACTGCCCACAAAAGACACCTTCTTTTTAAAGTTTTTCCTCCTGGAAAAATGAGAAAAGTGTATAACTGTCTTCAGGCCAAAAAACAGCTCACACTTGATATTATTATTCTAAATCAAACCAACCTGTATGGGACACATTTTACTGCAATCAGTTATGGTAAACTGATGACGAATTCACGTTACTTATATGAGACGTTTATAACAATCGTGTTAATTAAGGGGACAACGGCGACGAACACTAATTTACTTCCCATCTTAGATCGGGGTAATTTCTGCTTGGTGCACTAAAAAAGTATAACTTGACATTTCTATTCCTCTAGTGGAAATTAAGAGCAGCGGGAATGATCAGTCTCTCAGTTGACTCATAAATGCACCCTAAACGTTTTTTAATTCAGGCTAAATTTATTTCTGTAAACGTAGTCCGCTTTCTTGAGGTTTTCCAAAGGTGAAAGTTGAGAGCATGCTCAAAGCAGAACCCATTTTGAAAGAACGTAAAGCCAGAACATTTTAAAACAAAATCGAGCCAACGCAAGAAATTGGTTCATGTTTCATCCGGTAATGCTGAATTTACACCTTAATATGCATTTCGCTTCCCCGGTACATGTATTTGAATGCTGGAGGCACGCAAGCACTCACACAGGTAAAAAGAGGCGGCAAGTAATGCCAAGGGACCGAGGAAGTCATGCAGCACGAAGTCCGTGAGCAAAATGTCAAGAACATAATTGAGTGTAGCCTCATAGTTCGAACAAATTCAAGAAAAAAAGGACTCAAAAAACGACAAAATCCTTCAGTAAAACTGCAGTACATATTTTTTTTAGCGATACGCTCAGTTTTAGGGGACCTTTTTTACAATGAAACTCCATTTGGCCGTTCCTACTTGCCATGGTGTCATCCCAGATTCCAAATGTGCTACAATAGCAAACTCTGTTATCGC